CCGAAGCCTGCCAGCCTGGCGAGCTAACGGTCCCAACAAACCCAGTCAGTGAACGCCCGGGGACTGAGGGCGGTGCCGGGTCCCAGCCATCAGTCAAGTGGGGGCGGAGACGAGCCAGGTTCCATGCCAATCATCTGTAAGAGGGCGGGAGCTGGAGGGTTCCCGCTCCGCCATAGGCAAATATTGAGGAGGGTGGAGGTTCTGACAACCAATGACAAAGAAAAAAAGCTATATCCTCTACCCGAGAGAAGCAGAGATTGGGCGTGTCTTTGGGAGTCCTGTGGCTACTACTAGAAAGTGGGCCAGATCTCTGGGGCGGGGCTTGAAGAAAAATAGGCCTGGACCCAAAGCTGGGAGTTTAAGGGTTCTTAGAGATCATCTGTTCGATCATTTCATTTTATCGGTGTGGCTCAGAGAAATGATGTGGCCTGTCCAAGATCACATGCAATTGGTGAAGGAGCAAAAACAAGGAAAAATACTGACATTTAATGAGCTTATACTGCATGATGTACTTTATTGCATTGTTTTATTTAATAATCACAATCACTTACTAAAGTTTATTAGATTACTAATAAGGAGACTGACGCTCAGAGAGGCTAGATAAATTGTTCCAAATTACATAGCTAATAGATGGCAAAGGGGGTTCAGATATAATTTTTCTGATTTCTAATATCTCCATTTTCATGATGCCACATTGTTGAGTAATTTTCTGATTTCCACAATTTAAGTTTGGGGAGGGAGTGAGAGACAGTAAAAAGGGCAGCTCCTTTTACCTCTCATTAGAGTGAGAAAGAGAATATATGGAGAGAAAAAAAACAACACCCCACAAACAGAATTCTAGGGTTTAGGGTTTAGACTAAGAAAGGTACCCTTGTTCATAGAACTTGTCAGACTGGGTTCCTCTGATTGCTTACACACACATACACACACATTCACTGCACACCCTTTGTCAGCTGACTGTCATGCCATATTGCTTACGTGAAGTTATACTAACTGAATCCCCTCAAACTCTCCTATAGTGGCTCAGAAATCAATGATAGGGAACTAGCAGTCAGAAATTGAAGAAAATGGATGAAATTCATCTGGTGGAATAAAAATAAGGCTCTGAGTAAAAGTCGTGAGTGCCCAAGAAGTAGGAAACTTGAAAGAGAGACAGTTAAATCTACTGGACTATATCTGCTGATGGCAGAGGGACTCTGTAAGAATCTTAAAGAATTTAAGGGTAGACATAAGGGAGATTGGAAAAAATGAAAGCCCGTCAAATGCCTTAAAACCTTCAGGACACAGGACACTTGGCTTTTCTTCTACAATCACAGTTGGTCAGTTGGTTTCCTGGAAAAAAACGTTGGCTGGAACCTCCATGTATCCCTTGGATCATTATAGCTACATGTTTGTATCACCCTTCCTCCCCACTCTTCATTCCCCACACCCCAGAACTTCAGGCAGAGGTGACAAAAAAGAGACTTCTGAATACATTTATTTGATATGTCAAGTGGAGAGAGGAGTAATTTAGGGTTACTCCCCACTTCTATCTGTGGGAGTGTTCATAAGCTCAGACAGACGGGAAAAGCAGCTTAGAGCCCATGACCCACCCCCTGGGGAAATAAGACAACCTGCTGTAGTTGTTGGGGGGAAAGGGCAGGAATAAAAAGCAGGAAGTTAAGAAGTTGAGAGCAGGAAGGGCAGCAGCAGAACTGAGGCTGGGGGGTTGCTGCAGGAACCCCTCACCCCCAGAAGAGTGAAAAAACCCTGAAGAGTGGGGGGGGGGGTGCTGGAAGCAGAATGTGAACAAGGAGTCAGGCCTGGAGGGAGAAGCAAGACCTGCAAAATTGGGTAGGATACTCATGAAGAGGGTAGAGTGTGCAAAATCATGATAGGCAGTGTTGCAAGACATACAAAGAAAGCAATGGATTGCTTCTGCAGGAAGGCAAAGACATAGGAGACTACCCATATGTAGGGATTCCTTACTGCTTCTGAACAAATGCAGGTGAATTTGGGACCCTAGCACATGTGGTCCCGTGTGTTTATTGGTGTGCCTGTGGGTACACAAGTGGTCCCAAGTGTATGTGAAATGACCAGGGCACAAATGCTTATGTCTATACACCCAATTAAATAGAGTACTTATCCTTCCTTGCTAATAAGGAAGGATACTGTGCTTGTGGACACGTTTTACCGATGTATGTGTGCACAGTGCCCATGAGCACATGCAAAAGACCCTATGTCCATGGTGTGTATGTGAGGTGGTTATCCCATCTGTCCCATTAAGGTCCTGATCCCCACCCTCCTCAGCTCCTCTCTCTCCTCTCAGCGGCCTGGCTCCCCTGGACCGCCTAGACTCTGGAAGCCCCCTAGCAGGCGGATCTGCTCAGTCTGCATGGAGTGGCGTCTCACCAACTTGCGCTTGGTCCTAGGAGAGCCAGGCGCCCCGACGTGGGGAGGGGCAGGGAGCGAAGGCGCCCGACCTCCGGGTTGGGGGCGAATGTCGGGGATGGGAGGGTGCGGGTTGACGTTGAGCGGGGGCAGGAAACCCGGCCGCGTTTGCGAGATGTGGTCCAGGAGCAACGTCCCGGAGCCTCTCCGCTCGAGCAGCCCCGGACTTCGCCTCCTTCCGCTTATCGGGGATACAGCCCCAGGCAGACTCTCCTGGGACTGGCGCGGGGAGGGAGCCGAGCCGGCTAGAGGGAGGGTCAGCGGGGAAGCGCTATAACGGCGGCGCTCCAAAGACGGGCGGCTACACTCCGGCGAGTCGGGGGCGTCAAGCTCCACAGGCTCCATGCGGCTCAGTTTCTGCCTCAAGCCTGAAGGAGGGCCCGGCTCCTGAGCCTCTGGCGCCGTGTTTCGGCGAGAGAGAGGACCCACGCCTGTCACTTTCTCCGCCCATGGGGGCGGGTCCTCCGGGCCTTCAGTGCTGTGACGTCGAGAAAGACGGGGTCGACCGGTCAGGGTCAGGCCGTTGAATTCGGCCGTCAAGCGCTCTATTCCTGGCCTCCCTTCGGCGGGCGGGACCGGCTGAGG